CAAACCCACACGCTCCCACATCCAAGCATGGCATCACACCGCGAGATTTGATTCAAAAAGGGCAGGGCAATGGCGAAATCTCTGGCACAACTTTTGGCAGCAAAGAAAGCTGGCCAAGCGCGCCTCGCTCCGTATATTTAGTGCGTTTGAAGGTAATTAGCGAATTCTCTCAGGCAGTCAAGCTAGGCCCATTGAATTTGCGACATACCTATGTTTTTTGTCTGCTCTTGCCTGGTTGCGTTCTTAGGAAGGCTTCTCCGAAGAAGAAACCCAAGCCTGGACCTTCTCCGTCCAAGCCAGAACCAAAAACAAAGGTTCTGAAACGACCCGGGACATTAAAGCGGCCGAGTGCAAGTCCACGTGTTGTTCCTCTCACCCGTACACCTGACTCCCCAGCAAGTCAACATCAAGAAGAACGCAACGACGGCGACGACGACGATGCGATTCTTTCCTCCCAACCTTCCTTGCCGCGCAGCTGAACTATAGTAGCGCCTGAATTCATACGTCAGTCTTGTCGAGTCTTATCATGTTTGATGAGAAGGGAATTTGCTGTTGGCCCAGGCCTGAGTTCCGAATGCCATCAGATGCCGCCGAGCTTGGGTATTTTGGCACAAGTAGTAGCAGTAGTAGTAGTAGTAGTAGTCAGTAGTAGATACAAGTAATTGTATTAGCAGCACGTTGTCAAATCCCATGCCATCCAACCCTCTCGACTCTGCACTCGGCCTTTGTGTGATTTGTGTGAGGCTATGGGCCCACGTGCTGGTGGAGCGCTGTGAAGCCCTTTTTTGGGGCAGAGCACTGCAAAGCCGCTCTTTCCCATCAACGGAAAGCATTCACATTGTTCAGCGGCATTGAATGTGCCAGGGCCAGTTGGAATATGATAGCAAAAGCCGCGGAACTACGCTGGGGGATCACAGTTGGGCTGGAATGGTCATTTGCCGTGTCACGGGCTAGTGTAACTCTACGCTTTTGTTTCGTTTGGTTGGTGGCTACCCTAGGCCCCAAACACCTGTGCCTTTACCATGAGCTCTCTGTTCCCAAGGTAGAGATCGACAAGAAGTGCCAAGATTGGATCTTGAACATGTACCCTGATTCATGTCTGTTTTCGGACATGTTTGACTTGATTAAGAACGAGGTGCCCGAGCACGAATTGCTGGAGGTTAGCAAAGTCAAGTTCACAAAGTCGGCATGGTGCCTAGCACATGAACAAGAGTGCCCCGTGCACATAGATGACACCATGCTTTGCGTACTTGGCATGCCTTGCGTGCTTTTTTCCAGGTCCCATGTCTTGATGTCAACAGGCTTTTCTTCCTGGGATTCTTACATATAATATGATGTAAGTCATACTAAAAATAATGGTTTTCAGAATCTGGTGCCAGCCCCGGCCAAGGTTGGGGAAGCAGGAGGGCTTCCAAAACATTTCCAAAGCACAGTGCCATTGTGTTGGCACTGCAGCTATGCGGAAGGCTGGCGCTTCGGTGCACGAAAACGTGGAGGGGTATGACGACAGCCATCTAACCCAAAACCTCCACCAGGAAATCATGCTATCCACGTTGCTTGACCATATACTTAGATGCACTTACCATATACCTAATAGGGTTTCTCGGTACATCCCGCACGCGTCCACGCCCTTGGCGCCTCCGTGCCAAGGCTAAACCCAAGTCGATTCGGATTCCCTGCCAACAGACCTCGGCAATACCGACTTTGCTGGAGCAAAAAGTACAAGTGGACAGCCGATCCTTGCTAGCAAGACATGTTGCCTAGAAGCTTTGTTTCATTCGACATGTCCCTGGGTGATTTTGAAGTTTCTCAAAGGACATGACGTTTGATGAGCTGGCCAATCACATTCTGGCCGGTAAGAACCAGGCTGTGACATTGAAACCCGAGTGCTTTGCTGTAAGTGATGAATCAGAGCTCTTCCGTATTTTTGGGACTGCAAAGCCTGGGGAACAGGCCCTTTCACCGTCTGGGCCTCATGTGGAACACCTGATTCATGTGAAGGCCACTTATGTTGAAACCAACCATATTCAAGTCTGAGTTTTCTCCCTCCTGCAACGACGCTCTGCTCAGGTCAATGCTGACAAGCTTGCGGAGCTACCGCAAGCACAAAGGCAAGCAAATCTTTGACCTCAGCCAGACTGCCAACACTCGTGGCCGAACTGACACGAAGCTGGGTGCAATGCCAACATTAGCAAGGTCAAGCCACCATTTATGGTAGCTCTGCTAAAAAACACGCTAAAGCCTGATGTGGGGGGAAACTGAAAACCATTACATGAAATAGATCAACACCAGTGTCAAAGCCCGATTGGTGTCAGGTCGGAATCCTTGGGACGCATCTTCACAGGCAAGGAGAAATTGTTGAGCTTGGGCTATCCAGTGTGGCAGCCATACTGTGAGAAAGTGCAAGTGGATCAAATCTCAGACTTTCATGGTGGAACGTGCAATCATGGCAGCATGCAGGGGTAAACTCGCAGCTCTTTGAAAACCGAGGAAAGGTGCTCCTTGGCAGATGCAGGCGTATGTAGTGAGAATGCTCTGACTCAAAAGAGCGGAAATGCAATGCATCTGCCGTCCGTTGGGATATCACTTTTGGTGTCAGTGCTTGCGCTAGAGCGCAAGTAGAGCGTAGTGCGGATTGACTGGCGCCGCCACCATACATGGCTTTGACAAGTTCTTTGAACGTTGAAATTCGTGCAATCTCACAATCCGATCGCGTCGAATGAAACAAAACAGAAACCTAATACTGTGTGCGTGTGCGTGTGTGGCCGTGCAAACTCCTCATGCTGTTTTTTTGGGAGGGAGGGTGGCACTTAGGCACTGCCCACGTTTTGGTCCCTGTTTGCACGTGGTATATCAATGAGTTCAGCCTTAATGGAAAAAACCCAACGGTATTGGAGGCCCTTTACTTGGCGGCCCTTCAGTTACGTGTCGAAGGCCATCGAGATAGTAGTAGTTGGAAGATTGAAAAAACTAGGGCTCTAAGCTGTGGCTAGACTATCTGAACAAAACGCCTTGAGGTAAAAGGGGAAAGCAGTTCATCACTTCGTTCGTTCTTCCCTGCTGAGAGGCTTGCCTGCAGCGCAAGTCTGCAACTTCCGTGCGCCAGTGCCTTGCCAGTACCAGGGTGGACGTTGGAGGAGGACTGTGGAACCTGACTGGAAGAACCTAGCAGAAGGGCATTGCAATCCTACTCCTACTCTTCAAGTTTGAGACGGTATGACAACAAGTCGATTCCCATGTCATAATTGTTGTTGAGCGGTCTTGTCCTGATAGCCCATTGTAGGGGTACTTGCGGCTGAGAATGATGGTGACAACCCTTTTATTCGCAGCCATGGTTCATGGTGGGGGGCTTCAACTGAGTTGAGACTGCATGTCATTCAACCGAATAGTTTAGAAGCGGATTGACAGGAATAAGACATGTCGATTGTATAATTACATGTGATCATATTCATGCCAAAAGCCACAAGATTGCACAAGGGTTGGAAAATGCCCATACTGCCGCAGCCATGCCTCTCTTCCAAGAAGAGGGGGGAAGAGCGCCAGCGGAGGAAACCACCGCCAGCGCCAGCAGGATGCCTCACGCGTGAAGATCATGGCCTTCAAGTTTGTATAGACTGACTTGCCGTTTTTTGATGTTCCTTCCCCAAGATTCCTGCCTAGATTCTTTCGTGAGGTGATTTCGTAGTCCCCTGGGATCACAAGCCTAGGTCCTACTAGGAAAAGGAGTGCGAGCTCTGCCTCTGCAGCAGGAAGACCTACCCTTTTCCAGTTCGAACCAGAGGAGGGGATATACTCAAAGGATTCCCAGGCCAAGGAGAAAAAGAAACCTTTTGATCCAGAAAGTGAGGACTCTGATGACAGTGAAAGTTCCCACGGCTGCTGCGTCAAAGAAGCAGCTGTTCTGAACTTTGGGTGGCATACCATACATGAAGCTGCCAGAGCTCACTTCCAACGCCACACTTCTGAAACTGGCCACGCTTCTAAGCAAAAAAAGGCCATATGACAACAGTGTCCGGGCAGCCCGGGCATCCTATGTTCGTAAAGGTGATACTTTCAAGAAGAACGGGAAGTCGTCAGCTCGACTCTCTGGTGTGCTGTCAGCCAGCCGATGTGGTTGTTCCCTGGCTGACCTCCCAGCTTACTTTCCTAGCTAGCTTTCAGTGATAGTTAGTTTGGGGGGTGGTCCTGGTTCCCACAACTGCAAAGTCGCATACTAGGTGCACACAAAGATTGTTACAGCAAGTTCATGGAGAAGGACGTCAGGAACTTTGTTGATGTTTTTTGGGACATGGGGAAAGCTGACCAGGATGCACTGGTGCCCTGAAAATACCCCAGTACATTCTGAATATTTATGTGACTACTCGCAAGGGTTGTGAAAAAGCTTCAAACCATCCATCAGCCCTATGCCTGCTAAGTTGAACATGAGCGTGGATGGCTCTGGCCCTGTTCAATCCACACGCTTCCTTGGGCAAGAGATCGGGTTTCCTTGCCTTGCGAAGCTCCTGGGCGTTGGAGCCAACCGCCTTAGGAAGGGTGCCAAAAGGACTCCGGACCAACGCTTGGGAAAAGAAAGGGGTGGGAGCAAAAGAGAAACCTGGTCCATTGATGCGTTCTTTACCACCATGTACACGGGCATCGCAGAGACACTACCCGACCGGTGCCCCCATCCAAATTAATTAAGCTCTTTTATTATTAGTAGGTGGTGTTGTTATTGTGGTTGGGAAACTCTAGGAGTTTAAAGTGTAATCAGTCAGAATTCGCAGGTTCCTCCGGCGCGGGCGAGCCGCCCGTAAAGACGATGCTGATTTTGGCATTGTCAGTGACGTAGAAGATTCTGAATTGGTGTCATGGCTGGACAAACCGGGCACTTCAATGTCCTGGCAACTGCTACAATCTTCGGACTCGAAGAAACTCACGAAGTTTCTACCACCTGGCAACCTGGCTGAATTGTACCAGCACTACGCAGCGACGCGGCAGCTTCTGGGGACCCGCCTGTCCAGCTACAGCACATTCGTTCGTGTGTACAACTCCAGGTGGTCTGACGTCTTAAAGTTTCGCCAGGAGAATTTGTAACTTGGTTACAGCGGTCAACTACTTGGTTATTATGTTGTTTCCTTTTGCTGCCTGGTTCCATACAACCATATTAAGGTTCGGCAACTACTGTGTAAGATATTGCCCTTGCCCTTGCTAAGGTTCGGCAGATGCGAGATTTGCTATCTCCAATCTCGACAGATTGCGGGTTCAGAGTCTTTAGAAGTGAAGTTGGCTGCCGTCAAAACACTGCGTCAGCACCTTCATGATCAGTTCGTTGATCGCTCCATACAGTGGAGCCTCAATGAACTCAGCCGCGACTACTCCTCCCAAACATTGGTGATCCTTACGGACGGAATCGACCAAGCCAAATTCCGGTTGCCAAAACACCCAGGCCTCCGTGCAGCGAGTTCGATGCTTCTTGACCGTGTAGCCAGTTTTTTCCCTTTTAGTGTGTGTTTTTCACATAAACGTCAGCGACTTTCTCCTCAGAATACGCCACACGACTGAGGACAAATGTGGTGAGACCGGCCCTGAAGATCCACGGATCATGGGCTGTAGGAGATTAGATGAAAACGTGAACGTGTTTTGCCATATTCAACAAACAAATGGTTAAATGTCAGCATTGAATTGACGCATAGAGTTTTAGGATGGTGCTTAGATATTTGCGTGCTTGACGAGAGCCTGAAGCACGACTCTTGCTGTATATGCGAGATCATCTCCAGCACCCTCGAGAAAGTGCACGCAAATGCCGACAGCTACTTCGCGCCCCATGCCAACAACTGTCCTACTGGCCTCTGACAATTGCGTCAGGGAGTCCAAGAACTCTCACGTGCTCTCGTATTTGGTGAGTTTGTGCGCTCATTACAAGGTTCGCTGCAGTGGTTTAATAAACCTCCGCAAGTCGCACACACACGATGTCATCGACCAACTCTGGGGCGTGTTAGCCAGAAGAATTGCCCGGTGTGACAAACTACTTTCACCACAGTCAGTAATCTCAGTACTGGAGGCCGAACTTGAGCGACCCGGCCTTAAAGGTTGGATTGGAACTAGTACATTGGTGAGGGTATACAAGCTGGACTGCGTCCGCCCATGGAACCGGCATTACAACGAGCAACGCGTGGGACTTTCGGGAGGGCTCCGATCCGATGATTCTGCTAACCACGTATTCATCAACATGCTTCGCAGAGGACAGGCAATAACAACACTGTCGTTTAAAGGTATACGTAATATTCAATTTGGTTCTTTCTGCAATTGCTTCCTTGTGCATCGCTTCCTGGCAGACCTTCCAGAGTGTCTTCAAAATTTGGTTGATGCAGGCACTTCTCGTGCCCAACCTTCCCCTTATGATGTCATCATGCTGATAAAGACTTACATGGGCTCGGACAATTTGGCGCAAGCCCCGCTGCTAGTCTTGACAGCCGCGCGTGTTCAAAGAGCTACAGTGGCTCCATCAGCTTTAAACAAGTTACTAGGTTGGAAATGTGTGTCTTCATAATGATAATGGAGTCTCTGTGATATAGAATCACTGACCGGTTTTCAGTATACCTGTTTGTACAGCCAAGGCATGTCAACAACCACAGCCCCTCCTTCCGGCAGCAGTGTTTGGATGTGGCCAAGGCGGTCAGGAAGAGTTACAGTGGTGATTACACGGAATGCATAACCTACTTGGAACGATTGGCTTTGAACAGGTTTTACTTGGACGCGAGCCTGCCTCGATTGACGTGGCACGAAACAGTGTCGCCAGCTCCCAATGTGGGTGCTCCAGTGTACAGATTGCACCCAACAGTTGTTGAAACCTTGGCCTCTAGTGTCCCTTTAAGGGCAGCTTTCGGGGGGGAGACGAGACGAGTGAACAGCTCGATAAACTCGGACCAGCTTTGCCCTAAGGGCAGCCTTCGTTTGGACCCAAAGTTAAAAAATGCCAGGTCTTCCAACTCTTTCTACACCAGTAGTTGCTCGATGCTGCTTGTAAATTTAGCGTAAGAGTCATGGGTTTGCAATAGCTTAGTGAGATTTCACTGCGTTTGTGTCAGTGGTTATGTCTGCTGTTTTCACAAAGTGTTCATGTCAATTGGGCCTGCTGTCAGTGGGTTGGGGTGGAGTTGTGACATGACGGATGGTTTCATGTTGCCAGCACACACCAGCTCAAGATTGAAATTGTTATTGTGTTCCGTCATGCCGTCTGGTGTTTCATGGCCACCACAAAAATGCAGCTGCTGCTGGCAGGTGCAACCTCCTTATCATTGGGAGCGAAAACATGCACCCAAGATTCCATCGACCAAAGAGAACTTAGTGATGGCTTTGGGGGGAACGAGCTCTGGTGGACCTACCTCCCAACACCTGTTTGAGAGACCTTACTACGCCGGAGCTCAAATATTTGTTCCGGAAACATGTTCGAGGAGACCGTCACCCCTCGGATCCTTTGCATGGGTTGAGTTCTTGCAGCAAATCAGACCTTGTCCAACGTGTGAAGACTCATGGCCTGGATGTGGACCCAAAGGCGACCAAGGGTTGCATGATGTCCACTCTACGCCACCACTGGCAGGAACAGTGCGCATTGGCTGGCTGGAAGCATGATCTAACTCCTGAGTGTCCTACTGAGCATCCTCTAACTCCTGAGTGTCCTACTGAGCGTCCTACTGAGCCTGGTTGGGATCTTGTGATATATTCCGAGTCCGAGTTGGAGCACACTGAGGACTGTTAAGGCCTCTCAAGATGCCAGGGACCACCTCGAGCATTCGTCCAAGCTACTTTTCCATTTGATCAAGGAAAAGTATCCTAATTTGAGGGGTAGCATCAGGTGAACAAGTTGCCCTTGAATCTTGAATGAACTACAGTATATTTTTGTGGTCCCACGTTAGCAATTCGTTGCACTACTATCCCATCAAGGATAATTCACGACGCGCGGCTGGTGAGCAGGATAAAGGGCAAGTCTGTCGCTGGGAGGGGGCATGGTGTTTTTCCCTCATGTTCCCTCGATGTTGAACTCAGCCCTTTCATTATTTAATCCTTAAAAAACCCTCCCAACATCTCACATCCTGAATTCCTGTTTGGTTTCCTCCGCCACTTCCGGTGTGCCAAGGTGCTGTTTTGAAGCTGCTGGCAGGTGCGAGACCTGACCTGGGAACAGGGTTCGACTGGGATGGAAGGGCGTGGCCCGCCAAACTCGATGTCCAGGAAGGGGTCCGGCCGACTAAAATCGATGTCCAGAAGGGGGTCCGGCCGACCAAAGTCGATGTCCAGAAG